GTATGTGAACAATGATTAAAAATAATTAAAATAAATAATATTAAATTTCTGTGTTCGAGATACTATTGTTACAGAATAGATTATTGTTTAATTTATTATATTATTAATTATTTAAAATCTATAACAATTCCTATAAATTTTCCTTGATAAAATAATGATCATACAATAAAAAAATAAAAGAAGAAACAAGATACATGAACATTAAATTGAAAGTAATTAAAATAAATAATACTAAATATTTATATCCAATGTATCATTATTAGAGAATTGATTAATGTATAATTTATAATATTATCTACCAATTAAAAATCAATAATAATTCCTATAAATATTCCTTAATAAAATAATAAGCATACAATAAAAAAAGCTATGTGAACAATGATTAAAAATAATTAAAATAAATAATATTAAATTTCTGTGTTCGAGATACTATTGTTAGAGAATTGATTATTGTTTAATTTATTATATTATTAATTATTTAAAATTTATAACAATTCCTATAAATATTCCTTAATAAAATAATGAGCATACAATAAAAAAAAAGGGTACGTAAACAACAATTAAAAATAATTCAAATAAATTGCTGCACTACTAAAAATCAATAATAATACCTTTATAAATATGCCCTTTGGATAAAATAACGAGCATACGATAAAAAAAAAAAGAAAAAAAGAGCCACACGTGAAGAATAACAAAAGAAAAGATAAAAAAATATGATTTATCGGTAAAACGTCGGCCATCTTTCTTCGAGAATGCATCTCGAACACCTAAAAGACAATAGTAGTCGGTATATAACAAAGAGAATGATGTGTGAACCACACACTTCTACTTAAGAATAATTCATTCGCACTCCCATAGACGATCCTTTATGAATCATCATCATCATCATCATCATCATCATCATCATCATCATTATCATTCGATCCTATTCTTCGAGCTAATGATTTTTTAATTTGATTATTAGAGTGTAAAAAAAGGGGGTGTGGGGGAGTGGTATGTGTGTGTATGTATGTGTGTGTATGTGGTCCGAAAGTGACAGTTTGAGTTAAAGCATGCAGAGTGCCTTTCAAGGACACCCTCTTTCTTTTATCTTTTATTTTATTTGATTTTACTTTGATTTCTTTTGATTTCTTTCCTTCTTTTTCTTTTTCTTAGCATACAACAATTTATTTCTTCGTTATCCTTGTCGTCACAATGCAAGGATTATTTAACCTTGATTGTATTAGCATTCGATGGAATCATGCTTGTTAAATATATATCTACATTACTTGTGGTATTTAAACGATACTTCGAGATGTTACCTATAGATTAATATTTTTTTTATTATTTTTCTTTAGTATATTTTTTTTCTTTCTATTTTTCTTTTGGTGTCATATAAATACATTGTACAAACTTGCATATGTTTTTGTTTGTTCATAAACCTAATCATTTTAATTTTCCTTTTTTTTTTTTACTAATCTTGATTTAATCTAGATTAATGTGTAAGAAAAATAAAGATAAAGAATAAATAATAATTGAATGATTTATAAACAAATGTGATATACATAAATGATTTGTTTAATTGTAATATTATGTATCATGAATAATAATGAATATCAGAAAAAAATATAGGTAAAAGAAATAATAATTAAATTATGATATAGAAATGATGCAACCGGTGTCAAATTGTAGATAAGTGTCATACAATGTGTACACACACACATACATTCGCATACAATCTCATGCACGGTAACGTGATGAGAGAGTGAACAAAATAATACTATCCCTCGTATACACGGTTTTTCATGAATATACCATAGAAATTTGATTGACCTAAAAAAAAAAAATAAGAATAGATAGGAGTATACAAAAAAGAAAAAAATTTGAAGATAGATAAAAGTTAACCCTAATATTTAATCAAAACTTTTATCTTAAGAAAGATAATAAAAAAAAAAAAAGGGATATACGAAAATTGAGATCAAATTTAATCGTAAGAATAATATTTCTTACGAGTGTATGTATATAAATAATTAAAAAATTATTAACGAAATAAAATACTTTTCTGGTACATGAAAAATTGAACGGAGAGGGGGAGGAGGCTACGAACAAAAAAAAATCAGTGTAAAAATTGTAAAACAAATGACATAAGAAACATGTGTTTA